ATAAAATAAGTTTTTATAAACAACACAAAGTTTTTGTGTTAAGTGTTATTTATTGTAAGAGTTATTAGTGTTATCTAATAAGTGTACGTTTTGTGGTAGCCAAGGTCATAGGCATTTGTTTTAGATCTAGTCCATAAAACTCGACAACTTAAGATTTTTGGAGTTTTGCGTACACATATTTAAATTGCATTTTAATTTAATCCTGAATATTAAAAATTACTATATTGTTGTCTATTCCTAGTAAATGTGTTTTAGAAGATTTGGAATTTTTTGATTTATATCTAGTTTTATTATTAATAAACTAACAACAAATTTATGTATAACAAGGTGTAGGTTTTTATTTTGATAAGTAACCGCAAGCATGGATTTAGATGTACGATATCTGTAAGCTGTGAACAATTTGTCGCTTCTATTTTTTTAGCTCTTTTTGAAAATATATTTTTAATAATTTATTTCCCTTATAAATACTTACAGTACAAACTTTTTATATTTTTAAACTAATAAACATTGATTCATCATTATTTACTCAATGAAAGGATTCTACCTAACAGATTAAAATTATTCCAAAACATCAATTTGGATTCAAAACTCATCACTCCACGTGTCAAAAAATCTAACGAATTTCAGAACTAATTATAAATAGCTTTGAAAAGAAACAATATACAACGGTTGTTTTTCTAGTTTCTGGACTAAATCCAAGCCTTCAACGTGGTTTGGCACCACAGACTAGAACAAAAATTGAATTCGTTAGCGCTGTCCCCTAATACCTACTAAAAACTATAATCTCTTTTATATATTATAATTGAATGTTCCAAATCAGAATTGGAATTCACTTCTCTCCCAACCTCACAATACACAATCTAAAGCCTCTCCAAGGCTCAGTTATAGGACCTAGGTCTAACCATTTTCAACATCTACAGTCACGACATACCAACTTTCCTTAATTTTCAACTGGTGATGTTTGCGGAAGATATAACAATAATAAATAATAATCCAAAGAAACTATCTAGAATTTTTAATTCAAAATCTACAAACATCTCTAAATACAGTGAACACCTGGTTCAAAAATTAGAAATTGAATAAAAGAAATCGAATCTAATAAAAAGTGCTACAAAAATGTTTACCCTAAAACGATATAAAGATCTCCAACTTATTCTCATTTAAAATTAAACAATAGTATGAAATAATATTAACGACGCTATCAAGTACCTATCTTGGTGTGTTCTTAGATGAAAAACTTACATGGAAAATTCGCTTAAATAAAAAAAACTCACTCAATGCTATGCAAGAATGAATACACTCAAAGTTAACTTTAAATTAACTCTCCAAATGAAATTAATCATATAAATTATATTATTGTATTAATTTTTTTTTTTTTTTTAATTTATAAAAGATATTTATAATTTGTAAACATAGAATAGTGCAATAAGTAAAATAAAATAACATAGAATATATTAGACTTGAAAACGTAATAAATAGTATTATAATAAATAACAAAGATGACTTGAATTTAAGTTCAATATAAAGGTGTTATTTGGCAGGTGGCCAGGGGTATATTACTTTCATCTCTTAGTGGGGAAGAGGTGAATAGAAAAAAAAGCTTGTCATTATAGGACTGTTCCGAATAAATATGTGTGGTGTGAGAGGGGGGGGTCACCAAAATCATTTAATGAACAAAAAAAAAAAACTTATTTCCTGACTTGTTTAATACTGAGGAACAATACTATTCTGTTAGTTTTAGAATACCTTTCTATCACCTTGTTGTCAACAGAAATTGGGATATCATGATGTATATTCATAAGTACCAAATTGGTAAGCCTTTGCTGTGTTATTTGATAAAAAATAATGTATTTAATATTATAAAATAGTAAATGATAAGGATTTGATCATATTTGTAATAGAATAAATATAAAATCAAATTAAGTGCAATTAACCCTTAATGTTCATTAAGTAATGCTTAAGTATTTTTTTATATAATAACAATATATGCAACTACCTATATAAGTTTAATAAAACATTATAATATACTCAAGTGTGATTTATTAATTTGTAATTAATATGAGTGAAGTGTCGTCAAAAAAAGGAAGAGAATCAAACTAGAATGTTTGATTTGTTGCAGTGTATTTGACCATGATTACCGCAGCAAACATGAAAAAAATACGTATAGATAGAATATTAATATCAGGAATTTTGAAAAATTATTTTCTAAGATTTTAAAATAGAATTTCAATGTGAAAACAGTTTTATTATTATTAATATTTATATTTTATTTCAAAATTCAAATTCAAATGTATTTTAACTAAAATCACGGTTCTATTAATAACAAAAATATCAATACCTAATCGATTCAAAATGTTACTAGGTATTTAGTATTTACTAACTCCCGCATAAATTTCATACTCCAGTTTCCTACACGGGATACGATTTTAGATCCATCTATCTTAAATTGTAATACTGAATGATTTAAAGGAGGCGAGCTCCAAAGTAATTCCTGTAAATATAGCTCCTGTACATTTGTTGCATCTCCTAATGGCCGTCTATAACTGCAATGCAGATTATTTTATTGCCTATATTTATCTTTCAAGGGACTTTTTTATGTTAGCATTTTTTTCAGACATAATATTCAAGAATTCAAATGGATAAATAATAATTATTATTTGAGTGTTTATTTTATACCATATTATTAATTATTAATTATGTACCAGTAATTTTAAAACTGTATTTATTTTTTCATTGCATAAATATTAACCAATAATTATTATAATTGAATATATATATTTATAGTAGGTAAGTATTTATTTAAATGATATTTTACAATAATAAAAGTATATAATTATACCATAATATTCAATTGTATTATTTCATTATACTGTAAACAATCACAATTCTTTAAACTATTTATTCAATATTCAATAAGAATTATGTATTATTAAATATTTAAATGTAATTTGTATATATATAATATATATACATATTACATATATCAGTATAAATATGTATTTACGGTATTTACACATATTATAATTTATGTTCTTATAAAATATAATCGTTTTTATGAGGAAAAAAATTATACTTAAAACACATCGAAGTGATTTATTTTCTCTTGTAGCAAGGTTTTGCATTTCGATGTAGCCTTAAAATAATAAATAAAAGTTACAGGTAGATAAATATAGATGTTATTTAGAAATACTAGAATTGCTTCATTACTTGCTATACATTCGAACCTCTGTAGAAATTACATATTGTCATATTGTAAATTATAGTCGCAAAGGAAAAGGTTAATAAAAAAATATTACTTATTAAAAACAATTTGTGAGAAACTTATGGGTATCATATTGATAAAATTTGATGAAATTATTTAATCAAAGTATTTTGATATTCTTATTAATTCAGCTCTGAATATTTCTCATATTGACTAGTAATCAATTATAATTTAACATTAAATATAAATTAAACTGTAAAGTATAAGATTGATTTATTGAATTATTCCCTCTTTGTAATCACATTAAAAAACTAGCATTTAGTATAATAGAGTTTTTTAAACAGATTAGTACTTATTTATATTTCTAACAGTCGATCGAAAATTGGCAAACGTATGATAATGTAATAATTGTGGATTATACATGTATACTCGAATCAAAAAATTGAATAAATTAACATTTTATGTCCCACGAGTTGCTCATCATTGAATTTAGTGTGGGATTTTAGTGCAAAAATATGTTAGTTTTTTTTTCTCTTCTTTAAAAACGATATTCACTTTTTGTAGCTTTAATGTATAAGTGAATACTTAGTATGATTATTAATTTATTAACAATCAGTACGAAAAATTAAGACGTTGAAATATGAAGTATACAGAGGTTTAGTGCTGATGATACAACAAAAGTATTAGCTAGTATTTATTATGAATAGATATATTTTAAAAGAAACTCCTGAAGATATGAATGAAAGTTCTGTTACTAGTAATGATGACAATAAATTTAATGAGGAAACAATTATGAAATTAGAAACAGCTTTCTTGACTGTTTTTTGGCGACGTAAATTTATTTAGCAGATTCAAAACTGTAATTAATTGTTAATTTAATACAATTAAATAAATGAAGTTAGTAGTTACTTATAAGTAAATGGTGATAATATTTTACATATTTTACAATCATTGTTAGTATTAATTTTTTAAAATTCAAAAAATAAGCAAAAAAAGTTAACTTAGTTAGCAAAGAATGGTCTAATGGAGAAAAAATATAGACACACTTAAGATGGTTGTAAAGATCATGAAGGTTTAAAAAGTAGCGACAAGTGTAAAGTCAACATTTTGTTATGGTTGATCAATTTAAATTAAAATATTACAAAAACGTTGTTCAACAATCGGCTTATAGTAATGTAATAAACGTTTTTGGTTTTTGAATCAATTGAATGTTGTCAACGATAATTAATTGAAACAATTTATAATTAATAATTCTATTGTTCGTCATTGATCACTGATTATTATTTTTAAACTACGTTCAGTTTTAATGATAAATGTGCTTAATAGTTATAATTTTTTTCTTATACCTACCTCAGTTAACTAAGTTGTGAAATGTGAATCGAAAGTACTACTGTCGACTATTGACATATTATAATTTATAATATACAGCCTATGTACATCGAGAAAGCTGTGATGATGAATAAAATATATCGTATAACATAGGTAGGTACGTTTCGGATTAAGTGCTAGGTCTGCAGGCTGCAGTGATACGATACAGAGCGGTTTGACGGAAGCGGGAATTGTGACCTTGAATGGCTTGAACACCCGTGTAACAGTAACCGTTTCCGGTAAATAAACATGTTCAGGTGATCGAGTGACATTTTTAGATTTTTCAGTAACCCGCATTTGCACGGCGGCCTGCACCACCTATACGATTCGAGTGCGACCTGGATGCTATGTTGCAAGTTGTAACATGAACTCGGCGAAGTGGTTGAACGTTGAACACTCGACGTTATCACAATAATTGTTTCATGCTATCAATTCAATAACACATTTTGATGGTCGGCGCTGAATACTGATAACGATATGAAAGAAATACCATGCGACGTTATGTTCCGATATCGTACTCACATCGTATACAACGATTATACACTGATTTACTTACTGATAAATCGCTATTAAAAAAGTTAACACTGTTAACGGTTCATCTTAGTGAATTGAATTTTAAATTTTAATAGTTAATGTCTTGAAATATATCAAATTTTAAAATTTTAAATGTTTCTATAATTTAGGTTAATAATTAAATTCGCACCTTAGTATGGAGTCTACTTATGATATGAATGGACCAAACAGTAATAATAATATTCGTGTTAATACATTTGTTCACAATGTTAGTAGCTTTACTATATTATGTGAAGTTTTAATCATAATAAATTATAATCATAATTTTTTAGCATCCGATATTAAAATCATTCATTGCTGGTTCCATGTCTGGATTATTCTCTACAGTTGTATTTCAACCATTTGATGTTATAAAAACAGTCTTACAAAACCCTAGAAAGTAACTGAGCTATTAAGAAAATATGTGATTGCATTAAAATTTAACTAATATTGTATTTATTAGTGATAAAAAATTAGGAATAATTAATGCCACAAAGTCAGTCTGGCAGCAAGACCATTTTTATGGATTTTGGAGAGGACTGTCTCCAGTAAGTATATACCTATTTATTAAACTCATATATATTTTACTTTATCTACTTTGTTATGTTTATAAAAAATTTCCCCAGAAATAAGCCATTAAACTGTAATATTCTTAAATGATTTTTTTTTATTTAATTGTACTACAGAAAATGCATATGGTACCAAAATAATAATTTTTGATAAAAACAAATACTTTTATTAAATAAATTTTAGTTAGAAATAAGTATTTTATTACTTAATAATAAGTTTATTTAAGAATAAGGCTAATATAAATATACGTATTTATGTAATAACATTTTTTTCACAACTATTATAATAATGCCTTTCTTTCTAAGTGTAACATTTTTTATTAAATAGCTACAGCATAATAATTTTAATATTTCATTAATTTCATATTTTTTTTTTATAAATTTTAATTATTGTGTCAACTGCTCAGTCAAATAAAAACAATTAGGTATTATTTTTAAATGAAATTTGTTGAGCTGTTGGTCGGTAATTTTTATTAATTTAAAAATTTTTTTAATATAATTAATTTTAGTATTTTATATTATAATCATTGGCATGGGTTTGGGAGAGATAAATAGGGTTATAAGAGATCCATGAAATGTATGTATTAGACATTTTTTTTAGTTTTTATAAATTATATAAGATGTTTGTAAAGTGAGCATTTAGTAATGTTTTTACCTTTTATAATTTTTTTAGTGAAAATATTAAAGTTCATGTTATAACTTAGTAAGTGTTAGACTATACAATATTAAAATATATGTCTGATGTTGGTTTAAATACCAAATACTTTATTAGTCAAGGGTACAACGAAGCAATTGCTAAGAGTGGCAAATGTAGTAGAGTTCAAAAATATATTCACTATGTACAACATCATTCCTAAATTTTAGTTCATATTGTTTAAATTTGGAAATTGCTTTTAGGTGTTAAATACCAGATACTAAGAATTTTATAGGTACAATTTAAGCTGTTTACATTTTTTTGGAAAATAAACAAAATTATAATTTAATAACTAGTGATTTTTCTCTTTAAAAATTATCTTCCCACTGTCCAATGCGTACACTACCTTGAGGTTAACATCAATCATTGACTTAGTCCATTATCATACAAAATAAAACTCGAATCACTTAATAAACGTCTCCACCTTCTTTGCCCATTATTGACTTTTACAAATATAAAAATACTTACTAAAAAAATGCTATATAAAGTACTGTTCAGACCCATTTGGTCCTATGACATACAGCTTTAGGGCTTAGCCTAAATTTGTACACTAACCACATACAAAGATTTCAATCCAAATTCCTTCACATTATATCAAAAGCTTCATTTTATTTTTCCAATAATAATAGGACCCTTCACTCTGACTTCAAAATATTCACTGTCACTCAATTAAGCGATTCTATAAAAAACTAACTCACCATTCCAACCCCCTTATTACCCTACTATCATTTGCAACTATTCCAGGAAATCCCTACTAAAGGTCAAAAAAACAGTGGTATCATGAGCCGCTTATTAAATAAATATTAAAAAAAAAACAAAAACCAATGTATTTATAGGTATTACTTTTAGCTATTACTATTATTGTTACTAGTTATTATTAGGTTATTAGTGTTGTTATCTTATTAATTAACGATAGGCGGTTTTGAAGTAATCGTAGTAATATACTGATTTTTGAGATTTTTCCGAACTTTTTAGTCTTGCTTTGTATAAATGTAAATATTTCCATTTGTATCATGCTATATAGAGCTGGCCTAAGGAGCGAAGCTTGAATCAATTTTTTTTCAAGAAAAATCAGAATTTTATTTTATTTTATTAATACGAGGTCTGAAAATCATACATAAGTGTGACTGTGCGAGGTCTGTGGCGGGCCCTGCCTTAAATCTGTTTTGACGCAATACAATTTAATATATTTATTATATTTGGATTTTGGACGTTGATAATTTTTTATTTGTACTTGGTTTATAGTTTTATACCTTTAAACTGTTTTTTTATCTCAAGTGTTTTTTAGCTGACCCATCTCTAGTGCAGTCGTACGGGCTAAATGACTAATTTAATATTTAAATCCATGTTAATTAGTCTAGTTACTAGTTAGATATCATATTCTCACCAATTACGTGAATTTCCTAGACCCCAATAATGAGAAAGAGGGTGAGAAGCGGAAACGCCAATTGTGTTGTACGTTAAATGTAATACCAATCAACTTGCGTAAAATATGTCGTTTCATTACTTTTTATTCCGTATTTCCGTGTATATTTTTTGATAATTTATATTTATTATAACAAAAATTGGCATTAAATATTAAAACTTTTTAATGTTCAAGTTTCCGAAGTAAATTTTATTACACTTAATGAATTATAAAAAACTCCGTCTAGTTGTCTGGTTAATGGGTTTAGGTGAAACATATTTATTTTGTTAGGTACTCTGAATATTGTTTATGATAGCAGAGTAAAATATCTTATTTTTTTTTTTGTCTTTTTTATTTTAAATAAACAAATTTAATCTTACTTATATTAAAATGGTTTGTAGTGTTTGTACGTATAATACCATAATATTATTTCATGTCATCGAACGAACAGATTGATTGTTTTTAATCTGAATAAATTTAATGATATTAAATTCCTAAAATAAAATAAATTTATTATTTATAATTATATTCGTACTAGTCGTACTCTCATATTTCAAATAAATACAGAAATTTAGGTTTTAAAGTTTTTTCGCAGAAAATACATTATAGAACTTTAAAATAAAAAAGTAAAAAATTAGATAATCGTTAAACTGTACAGTAGGTGTTGATTGTATCTTGTCATTGAATGAGAAAGTTATTGTAAGATACCTATTATACTAAATTTGAATTCATTGATAAATCGTTGCTAACGAAAAACGATTCTGAGTAAAGACGTTGTCATTTTACTAAATAAATAATACGGTATAGGTTGAATTAATTTTTACCGATATTATTACATTTTAAAATATCATTGTGTGTATAAAGTATATAAAATTATTATTAGTAAGTTTCTAATCCTTGCGAATAATATTTTTGAATTTAATACAACGAAAACCGTTAATTTTTATTTAAATATTTCAATATAAAAATTTTTATGTCTCGTAAAAATTCGTGACAATATGTCTTTAATATTATTACATAACATTGCAAATCGAATTTTTTTATTTTTACTATCCAAAATATTAACTAGATCCAATTTTCTATCAAAAACAGTTGAAAATCGAAATATTTTTAGTGCTCCAAAAGATGATCACTATGCTCAACATTTGAAATAATTATAAATGTATAAATTATCAAAATACCTACCCAAGTTAAATATCATAATAAGTAGGATTATTTATTTTATACACTTTGATTTCTAATTTTTTATATTTTTAGTCTCTTGTACGCAATATTCCAGGAATTGCCATTCATATATCACTTACACAATTAATGTATTCATATTTAACAAAAAATAATCAGACTTCTATGCTAAAGTCTGGGATAGCTGGATTTAGTGCACGATGTATAACTGTTTCTGTACTAATGCCTTTCACTGTCTTAAAAACTAGAGTAGAAGTAAGTAAGTAAATACACTTGAGTACTCATGAACATGTTAATTAACTTTTTGAAACTTAGTTATTATTCTAAAACTATAACATTTATTTTCAGAGTGGTCAATATCATTACACAACTTTAACCCGTGGTATAACTGATATTTATAGGTTGGAAGGTTGGAAGGTTTTGTGTCGTGGATGGACACCGACAATTTTGCGAGATGCTCCATTTTCTGCATTATATTTTATGATTTTTATAAAATTAAAAAATACAAACATTTTAGAAGGCAAGTATTATAAAATTGAAATTAAATGACGTAAGAAGTTTGTCTTAATTTTTTGTAAGTTAAAAAATTTAAAAAAAACTTTAATAATATATAAGACTAGTGGTAAAGCCATGGCATGGCAGTTGTGGCAGCATACTATGTCTTTCTACTCTAAAGCCTGCATCATATATTCAAATCTAAAAGTTTATGGGATAATAACTAATTCTTTTTATTATGATCAACAATAATTCAGAAGACTGGGTACTATCTACTGTTGTTATAAATCTATGTTGCGTGAGTAATCACATGTAATAACAGTACCAGAGACTGATTCAATAACTAGTGTTATTGAATTTAAACAAATCTGAAAAAATCTCAGAACCAGAAATTCTTTAAGCCTTAATGGAAAAATCTTATAGATAACTTCAGCTACGAGACTGGAAAAAATAATTTCACTTTGCTTCATTGCAAATGTTTAGACTTGTAAATGTCTTTTCATTGTAATTTATCCTAGATATGTTAAATTTGAATTAAATTGCAAACAATTGTGAACTAATAATAATTGTATGTAAAAAAAGGTGTTTTAGTCACTATTTTCTAAGAAAAATATTTATATTATTATAATAATTTTTTATTTTAATAGTATGATGATAGGACGAACTTGTGTTCATTTAAAAAAAAAATCAATGCATATAAATTGTTTAATTAGTTATTTTAATATTATTATTGAGCAATTTTAACTCATAATTTTATTTATAATACAATACCGACATATTGTGAATACAAGGTGAAAGCATGGCGTAGCAATTAAAAATAAATTAATTGTACTTAAAAATTATTAGCATATATATATATATATATATGAGTGAAAAGTTTCAAGTTTATGGTTAATACTTTTTAATTATTACAAATTAATCATTGGTAGAAAATATCATTATTTTTTTTTTTAAATATCCCACTTTGTCAAATTTTTACTCAAACACTTATAAAAACAAATTGTACTTTTATACTTTATAATTGTAATTTATTATAAGTACAACTTAAGTGGTAGATTGTATTGAAATTGAAAATTTTATGAATTCTTAACAACAAAATAATATGTACACTTTTATGATTTTGACAGGGTTTTCAATAGGTAATAGAATGTCTAACGACTATAAAGAAAATGATAATGATTCACCTCCAAAATAGCGAAAATAAAAAAATCAAACACAAAATATTGAATATAAAACAGCAAAAATCATTTAATTAAAAGAATAAATAGGGAATAAAAATAATGGAAAATATAAAAAAAAAAATTAAAATTATGACAAAAATTATTATTTTTGTCGTATCTATACATTGTTTATTTTTATTAATATTTTATAGGTATTTATGAAAAAAAATAATAAAATATTAATAAACTAATATGTCAAATTATAGGCAATTTATTTTTTTTTAAATTTAAATTATCATTTTTGTTGTATATATTTACTAATTTTTAAATCCGTTCAGCCGAACTTCTTTTCTTTTCTTAAATTATTCATTCAATTACCTTTAACAATGATTAAAGAATAAATATATCTTTAATTGTACTACTAAACTGATTTACTTGTGTCTGAAGAAATCATTATCGATATTATTGTCTAAATTGTCTAAATTCCAAACAGCTTTCGCTATTTTTAGTTCGCCGTATTTTTTCCATCATTTTATTTTTGCTATTTTGATGGGATACCTAAGAAAATTGAGCTCATATGTTTTGTAATTTTAAATTATTATAAAAAATTATTATTTGCTTTGAACATTTAAAAATTACAATTTCATTTTACCAATAACAAATTTAGCTTTCCCATACATTTGTGTATTCACATACAATTCCAAGATACTGAACATATCAATTTATTGGGCTATTACTTGGAACACTACTTTTACTTTCATGAAAAAATAATCAAATCAAAAATTAATTTAGAACAAACATTTAAATCAAATATGAATATAGAAAATAAGTAATTAATCAAATACGGTTTTGTTTTGTTTAATTAGAATTAGACAATAAACAACCGTTATATATTTTTGGTTGTGGTCTTCTAGCTGGAGGATTAGCATCCTGCATAACTCAACCATTCGATGTCATCAAAACTAGTCAACAAGTATCAAAAGAAAAACTTCTTTTAATTGATGCTATTATTATGATTAAACGAGTGAGTACATACTGTTATTCTAATTTATTACCAAAAATTCAAATTATTTATTTATTTTCAGAAATATGGAATAGCTGGTTATTTTAAAGGGTTGTCTCTTAGAGTTTTAAGGCGATCTTTAATGGCGGCAATGACTTGGACTGTATACGAAAAATTATCGTAAATGATAAATAATCTAAATTTTAATATTTATGTTTAATTTTGTTTAACTTATGTTACAGTTCTTTAAAATTTGTGACTGTCAAAATAAGATGTATAAATGTTATGATATATTTTTGAATTTAAATAAGAAAGCAACTAATTAAGAATTTGAGACATTAATATTATTTTTAATTATTATGTATTAAGTTTTAATTAGACTGAAATATTTTAGCAACATAGCATACATGTTTATGTCAGTAAAATTTTATTTAAGTTCTCTAGTTGTTCTAATAGTAGATTTTTTTAATTGTATGCATTCATTTTGCTGTGAAATTTTTAATATGTTTATTCATCTGTAGTTTTTTTTTCATTTAATAATTTTTATTGAGTATGACTTATGAGGTATTAGTTTTATCAATCATTTGTTAGGATATAAATGTTTAATTATAATATATTTTAACCAATTTCCATATAGATTGGTTAATAAATACTTTTAAAAATGATTTATTCTTATTTAATTTATAAAAAAAATCTTTTTAACCTAGTATTGATATAACTAATTATTATCACATACAATTGAAAATCATAAGACTTTATTCATTTTAGAATGAATATCATGTTTAATATCTGTGTTCCATAAGACACTGGTACGGTTAAATTATCCTGCTGTTGTGTGTTAGGTATCTTTAATGATTTGTTATGCGTGTGGTACACTGTGATAATTTTATCAGTTCTATGCAGTTGATTGAATAACAAGGAAGTGAATTACACAGACATTATATTCAAGAATAATTATCATAATCTACACTATTAATTAGGCGTTTGTCGTGTATTATTTAGTATTTACATACTTTAACATTACCGATTTAACATTCAAAGGTTCATTACATATTGTGTTCAGTTGTCTGGGTTCATCATATGTTTTTTTTTTTATCAATTTTTGTTATCACATCAGTTTTCATCAGTTTTCAAAATAATAAAACAATGAATTACGAAGGCCGAAGAATGAAGATAAAACCAACATTGAATTTAAACGACCTTTTTGAATTTTCTTCTGACAAATCCGAATAATAGGTTAACGGGATTATCGTTTGTTAGATTTTAGAAATGTTTTCCAGACATGTTACTGCAGTTGTTGGTGTTTCAAGTTTTTGCCTTGGAATATGGATGGATAGAAAATATAGAGAATTAAATGCATCATATAAAATACCAGGATTTAAAATATTTGACGCAGTGTATGCTGATGGCATTGTGACCAATAATCAAGAACTAATTGTTAATAACGAACAGCGAATATCTCAGGTAAAATGTGTACACTTTAATACATTTAATTATAATTTTTATTATTTGTCATCTAATTTATAAATTATGTTTTTATTTTAAGTTTAATTACCTAAGCATATTTTGTTTATTCCTATTTTTATATTTAAAGATTATGAAGTATGGATTTCCAAGTTTGGATAATGTACGTTCGTATAAGAACTTTGTTCTTTCTTATGATCAAAGAAATCGTATACCACATTGGGTTCTAGAACATCTCACACCAGAAAGCATAGAATATAATCCTAATGTAAATAGAGCATTATGTGACTTTTATGAAGATAAATCATTTCACGAGTTTTATCGGTTATTTTAATTTTAATATCATATAAAATAAAGTATAAAGTATTGATTTAAAAATAATATATTTTAGAGCTACAAATAAAGATTATAAAAATAGTGGTTTTGATCGTGGACATCTAGCAGCAGCTGGAAATCACAAATCAAGTCAAGAATTAATACATCAAACATTTGTTTTATCAAATATTGCTCCACAAGTCGGTAAAGGATTCAATCGTGATGCTTGGAATAATTTAGAAAAATATGTCAGAAAAAAAGCAAAACATAATAAAAATACTTACATTTGTTCTGGCCCACTTTTTTTGCCCAAGTAAGATATTGCATAATTTTAATTTTAAATGGATGATACTAATCTGTTCATAAATAAGTATTAGATATACACTCTAAATGAAACAAAAATATTTTTAGAAAAGGAGATGATGGAAAATTATGGATCAAATATCAAGTAATTGGAGATAACCATGTTGCCGTTCCTACACATTTCTATAAAATTATTGTAACTGAAAGTGCAGAGTCTAAATTTTATTTAGAATGTTATTTAATGCCAAATCAAGTGATTCCTGACAACATACCATTAAAAGACTTTCAAGTAATTTATTTAATTAAATTCAATTTAGTGTTTGATAATAACTAATAAGTATTAAGTTAAAAGTTGTGTTGAGTACCTAGTACTTGCTACTGTAATATTTTAAAATAATTACTTTTTGAATTAAATTATCTTAATTTTATTAGTTTTTCTTAATAAATAGTTACCCAAGTTAATTATTTAAAAGTAGGTAATTTAGGATACCTCAACTTTAAAAATAATTAATAATTTTCCAGTTTTTTGGTATTATTTCAAGAGTAAGAATGATTGTTAAAATTTTAATATTCAATTATATATTAAATGTAAAAAACATAGATTTTTAAAATTTTTATTAAAGCTATCATGGTTTTTAGATATAATTTTTTTCTAATTATAACTTTCAATGGAAAACGACTGAAAGTCATTCTTCTGAATAGTAGGTTTCAATTTTTTTTGAGTTTGCTTTGTAATTGAGTATCTAAATTACTGTAATGAATTTATGAATGTGTTTAATTGAAATTCAATGATAAATCATTGTATACTATAAATATTTAGAGTATATGCTGTGCCAGCCTCTGATTTTATCTTTAAACATGACAATAATTGATGAAATAATCATGGAAGTTGTTTTAAATGTTTTTTTAATCAGAAAATAAAAAATGAAACTAAGATTCTCAATTTTATTGCAGTCTTAAAATTTATTTAAATTTATTAAAAAATGATTAACAATTGTTTAATTATACAGTGTATTTATTTGAATGGTAATTAGTAAAAAAGATTTTTCTAGGATGAAGAAATTTGAGGTGTAGATATGGGTTAGAGCTCTAGGTGCTATATCACTGAAAACTAGGGTTTGAATTTCAATGCATTTGCATCTTTTTTTTTCAAATTTCTTAATGCTTTCCAAGCTACAAATGTATTTTAAGTACTCCGTGTTCCAACCATAACATTTTTTTTGGGGCATTTTTTGCATTTTAGCAGATTTTATACTTTTTAGAGCATTTTTAGTATAATGTTAGAATAAAATATTTTTTAATTTTCATATACTTTTATATAACTTTATAACCAGTAAATCACATTGCAATAACTAATTTTGAATCATATTATATGCAATTGATTTCTATTATAAAATATATTATGAGTTATAAAACATAACTTTTTTGTTAATTTTTTTTCAGATGCCCTTGGAAGTAATAGAACGTGCATCAGGATTACAATTTTTCAAAAGATTGACACTTGACAAACTTATAAAACTTAGTTAATATTTAGATTCAGCATGACTTAAAATTTAATGCATAGGTACAATTATGTGAGATAAATATAATATTATTAGTATAAATCATAATAAAATTATATTTTTACCCAGTACCTCTGTCTTCTACTAAATACAATTTCATTTCCTATTGTAATCTTCAATAACTTAGAAACCAAATATATTTTTTTTATCTCGTTTTTGTTGTTTACTAGTAATTGTCTTTATTTTAATTTATATGATATATATAATATATGTGTTTATATATATATGTATTGGTTATAAATCATAATCAATCAAGGAAGCATCAGTAGGATCAAAAGGGATGAATTGCGAAGAACGATCACTGCACCGGTGGCTGTGAGTGACAATAGGCGTCTCTATGCGACTTTGGTGTTCTCCTGGTAATCTCCGACGACAACTCAACCACCACTGAAGTAGGAGGTCAGCGCTGAGCCACTCGGATTATGTTGAGTTTTCCCGAGTATCGTGGAGCGTCTTCACGAGCCGCGGTACGGTTCTGGTTTTTCCGCAGCATCGTTAGTTGTCTGCATGCCATGTTGGGATTTTCCAAACGCTGCCGGGCGCCACCGCGTTATCAACACGATAGGCATGGGATTGTGCCTATAAATATAGGTACGAAGCACAAACCTTATCTATACATGTGCGATTCTACAAGGACTAACAGCTACTATTAACGGAAAATTGATGAACGTAACCGAATAAAATTATAAACTCCTCAGAATTAAGAGTTCGGCGAAACAACTATACAAGTGTTATTATATAGCTAAGAATGAGCTATTCTAGCTGCCTATAGTTGTTTACGTATAAAGTGGATCATGCTATTGAATAGTAAGTTATACTTATTTGCATTAATAGATAATCTTTATTTTTACTATGATCTATTATTTTTTTATTTCATAAATTAAGTAATTAAAAATTTTGATACGTCAAAACGAGTTGTTACATTTTGAAATATACGAGTATTCAGGTTTGTTTATAATTTTTAAACAAGTATTTTTTAATAGTATAGATAAAATAAAATAGAATGGGGATCCATGGAGCGCGATGAAACTTTTTCACCGTCTAATCCAGCGGTTCCCATCCGGGGGTACGCGTACCCCTAGGGGTACTCGCGATGATTTCAAAGGGTACGCGAAAAAAAATTGAGTAATGGCGGAAAAATATTTAATTTAGTTAATTTAAAACTATTTGTTTGGGAAATATGCAATATACGTTATTAGTTATTACAAATGAAAACTTGTGTCACACAAGTAACAATTTTTTCTTATCTTATAGATGTGGATTAGAGTATAGAATACTACATAGAATACTATCTTATTATAGATTATATAATAATATTATTACATGGTAGGTTGCGGTGTTGGTGTGTATTAGCTTAGGAGTACAGAAGGATAAAAAGGTTGGGAACCGCTGGTCTAATCAATGGCCGATACGAAAACACTTGCACGACACTGCGCTCTGCTGCATAACCGCATAGGATATGTTAAACGACCACGTCATGTAGGGAGCCGTAGTGGATGCGTAAATTATAATTTATCTCGGCGCATACTACTTGCGTCCAAATTAATTATCAGTAGGTAACTTGCGTCCCGCAAAAAAAGGTTCAAAAAAGGTCATAGCCTATTTGCGTCCCGGTATACCTTTTTAGGCAGCTTAGTTGCGTCCTGACATAAATAAAGCACAAGCATACCACTCATCAAGTATTACAAAATATTATTATATAATATATAATAATATTTTGTAATATTTATAATTTATTTATTGCATATGATTCCACT